TCTTGTGTCTGCGGTGCTATCTGTCCAGCCCAGGTGCTCCAAAACCTCTTTCCCCCTGGGCAGATGCCCTGTAAGTTACCAGTGGGGTTTTCTCGGGGCGCTTGTTTCCCAGCTTTCTGAGAAAGGCAGGACGAGAAGCCAACTTTCCTCTGCCTAGCGTGTCTACAGATGCTTCACTCGACCTTGCTTTTGATAGTTGATCGTAAACAGAATTTCAGGTTGCAATAATCGTAAATAGAATTTCAGGTTGCAACCAATTTCCTTCCGGAAATTGGAAACTGTTTTTAGAATATCTTCTCGGCCCTCCCTGGTGGTACAATGGCCGCAGTCTCTTCAATGCGAGCTCCATCCCTGACCCAGAGGTGACCCACATGGTGCGGCAGACCTCTCCTGACCCGCCCGATGCTCCCCTCAGCAGTGTACTTCGTCCATCTGCCTGTTCTGCTCCCCACTCTGTCTCTGATGAAGCCCCTGCACCTCTGGTCTGTACCCCGGTTCTGTATGAGCAAATAAATCTTAAAAAAAAAAAAAGAATATCTTTTCATTTTCATGAGTCAGGTGCCATCCAGATTCCTGATTCCCCTGTGATTTCATCTCTAGGGATTTTCTCCACATTCCGCACCCCCCCCCATCTTTTTCTACCTGTGAGTTGGGCTCTCTGTGATGGCCTCAACCTGGAAATCTGTGTCTCTCTGCCTGGGAAGTTGTCCTACATTAATTCTTTGGTCATTTCTTCTTCTCTTCTTCTATTCTTTCTTCTGGACCCCTATCAGCAGAGTACTGCAACGTCTGATTTTATCTAAGTTTCTTATATTTTATCTCCTGGATCTTTTTTGTTCTATCTTCTAGGAGATTTTCTTAACTTTGTTCCAATGCTTAATTCTCTTCAAAATATTTCTCCAATATTTGTAAGCTTCAGAGGCTTTTTCTGATTCCTTGATTATTCTTGTGTTTATTAGATCCACTACTTGTTTTATGGATATAAAGCTTTCATTTATGATAACTATATATGTACATTTTATTTGAGGTCTAAATGACAAACAGTATTATATTGGTTTTAGTACAACATATAGTATTTTTAACTATTTCAAAATGATACTACAATAAGTCTAGTTAACATTTATCATCATGCATAATTACGCATTTTTTTTTTCTTTTTAAGACATCTGAAATTAGTAACAGGCTGATTTTTTTTTTTTTTAATGATGTTCCTGCAGGCCTCCCTGGTGGTATAGGGGTAAAGTTTCAGCACTGTCACATCCATGGCTTGAGTTCGATCCCTGACCAGGGAGATGACCCACATGGCATAGACCTCTTCTATCTTACCCACTGCTCCCCTCAGCAGTGTATCTCTGTAAATCCACCTGTTCTGCTCCTCACTGTCTCTCATTTCCCAACCAATGTCTTACACCCCAGTTCTTCTACAAATAAATAAATAATGAATTAATTTTTCCTGTTTCTCTGTGTTTGCTTTCCTGGATTCTCTCTTCCAAACTGGAGGCTTTCTCCAAATCCTTGGCTCTCCACTCATGGTGAAACAGACAAGTGGAAGGATCTAGAAATTCTGTGCATAGGCAGGACTCAGGACTGTGCAGCCTATTCTAGATGGGTTTCTGTGCAGATTTTATCTCGGGCACCACCACAGCCTAAATATTTGGGTCCCTCCCAGATCCCCACCGATGTGCGGAGTTAGGAGTTAGCCTTTGGGAGCTCCTGAGACCTTAAGGGTGGAACCCTCAGGGATGCGATTTGTGCCCTTATAAAGAGACCCCAGAGGGCCCTCCCTGGTGGCAGCACAATGAACATATCTTCAGCCACTACAGCACAAGTTCAACTCCTGGCCAAGGAGGTGACCCACATGGTGCAGCAGACCTCTCCTGAACCGCCCACTGCTCCCCTCAGCAGTGTGTTTCAGTAGAGCTGCCTGTTCTGCTCCCCACTCTGTCTCCGGTGAATCCACTCACCCCCTGCACCTCTGGCCTGCACCCCAGCTCTTTTATGCATAAATAAATAAATCTTAAAAATAAAATAAAGAGACCCCAGAGAGCTCCCTCCTTCTTCCCTCCAAGTGAGACACAGCAAAAGATAGCTGGAAGGAGGCTCTCTCAAAGCACAGAACCTGGGGCCCTTGGATTTCAGCCTCCAGAACTACAGCGAGGGCTTTCTATTGTCTGTAAGCCGCCAGTCTGTGGGATTTTGTTACAGTTGCCCAAACAGGCTCAGAAAGTCACCTTCCAGAATCAGACCTGAAGGCCTCTTGCCTGGTTGGGGCCTTGCACCTCCTGAGTTCCGAGTGAGACTGGGACAGCAACAGGGCTCGCTCAGGCTTTCACAGACTTTTTCTTTTCGCTCCTCATTATCGCCACCTCACTGTGCCTATGTCCCCAGTCCTGGAAGGGTCTGTGTCTTCAAGGAGGGAGCTACTGCTTCTTCCCAGGCAGATGGCAGACAGTCAGGCTGTGCAGGCTAGGGCGTGGGGCGTGGAAGCCTCAAGCTTCTCCATGGCTAGGTGTCCAGACTGTCCTCCTGTTTCAAATCTGGGGTTTGCCATAGACACTTCAAGCACTGGGTCATCGTGTCACCCCAAAGTCCCTCTGCTGGCATCAAATTGTCACCTCCCTCATTTGCCAAGCCCTCCTTCTAATTCCCATCTTCAAAATCTGGCTGTGGCTTCCTTTCCTCTCAGAGGGTTTATGCCTTTCTTGTTCCGTTGCTTTTAAGGGTTCTGGCAAGCAGACATAAATGTGTCAAAAGTGGTGCTTTAAAGCTTGTGTGAATGAAATGCGTTGAAGAGACCGTTGTTAAGAATATATTGGACAGCCACCAGGGAGGCCAGGCAAGGGGACCTGAGAAGGCCATGAATGGTCCCCTGACCCCCACCAGGGATGCCCAGCTTTCTGACCCCCTGAAGACTGTCTAGAGATCCCAGGAAGGAGTGGATTTCAGAGTGCCTAGGCAGCGTTCCATGCAGGTCTTTGGGTGCTGTGACCTCTGTCATTTCCCTCACCCAGAAAGCCTGGAGAAGAGAATGGGCATCCTATGTACAAGTAATGTTAAAGCCCCCCACAGCCCCACACCCTTCCTGTGATCCAGGAGTCAGGTGGGGAGCCTCAGGAAACCACAGGCCCCTTTAGTCCCACAGAGGGGCCAGGAGACTCCCAGGCAGCCATCCTGGGGTGAGGGGCAGGGGACAGACAGCCCAGCTTCCTTCTTACTGGCTGTTAAAGCAGGGTCTCTGGATCAGCTAGAACAGAGATCCTGGGGGACCCGGGGCTGTCATGGGGTTGACAGGCCCAGTGGCTGATGGTGGGGCCCACACAGCACACAGGGTCACACAGACACATGTGGGTGCACAGTTGCTCATATTCACCCCTCACATTCACACAGAAGACAGGCCTGTATCTTCTCTCAGAGAACACATTTCACTTTTCTGTACACACACACACACACAAGTGCCTCTCTTATCTGCCTAAATTTTAGACAGCGAGGAAGGATAGAGAGCCCTGGGGAATCTCGTGAGATAGGCTGGCACACACCAGCCTCTTCCTACCCAGCCTCACCTGGGGCGAGACTGGTCCAGGAAGCAGAAGGACAGTTCACGAGCAGCCCCGGGCTGACATTACAGAGCCCCCCCCCCAGGGAGTTTGGAGGAGGTGTGTTCTTCCGAACACCCACAGCGTCACCCCGTCACTCGTCTGTGTCCTGCCTTCCCGCCACACGGAAGATCTGAGAGCCCGGCCGATTTCATGGGTGGAGATGTGGGTGGGGCGGACTGCCTGTTCCCAAGGCAGCTTATCTTGTTGCCATAGTAACAAGGTTCTGCCTTTATCCTGTGCAGCCCTGGTTTTTTGGTGGAACACTGTGGGGTTTCACCAGGAGGTGGTGAGCCCCCACCCCTTCCAGGGGAGAACATTTCCCTCCTAGCCTAGGCAGGGAAGGGCAGTGTGACGCTAGGAAATAGGGCTGGGTTTTCTTGCAGATCTCCTATCCTTTCCTGCATAACCCCAGCGTCCCAGCTCCTGGGACCTCCACGAATGTCCCCACCAGGCAGTTACCCTTTCCTGATGTCCACCATGGCTGACTCAGATGGAGACCTCGCCTCAGTAGACAGGCCGTGGTAGGGGCCAGGCGAGGGTGTCAGGAGACTGATGACACATGCCATCACATCAGGCTGTGTGCCTGGGGTGAGGTATTGATCTTTGGGGACCTCAGGATTCTCCCTGATGAAGTTGGACATAATCCTGGACAGCAGTTACGACGAGGACACAGAGACGTGACGCATGAGAAGTGCTGGACCCAGCCAGGGTTTCTCAGATGGGAGGTCCAGGCTGATAGCCCTAGCAGGAGGACTAGGGGTTGGGGCCTAGTTCTCCCCAGAGGCTCTGTAGGGCTGGGGACGTGCACAGGGTGGTGGCTGGCATCACCACCCACCTCCAGTTGCCTGCAAACTGCCTGGGACAGGGGAAGATGCTGACAGTGGTGTTGGGCAGAACTGGGGTACAGGCCAGAGGTGCAGGGGATGAGAGGATTCACCAGGGTGGGGAGCAGAACAGGCAGATGCACTGAAATAAACTGCTGAGGGGAGCAGCCGGTGGGTCAGGAGAGGTCTGCTGTACCCTGTGGGTCAGCTCTCTGGCCGGGGATGGAACTCAGGCTGCAGGGGCTTCGGAGAGCTTCATAGCGCTGCACTTTAACCTGTTGGGCCACCAACAGGTTAGGGAGGGCCCAAATATTTGCCGTGATTTATTGTTTGTATGTGTGTTCGAAAGTCCTGCTCACCCAGAACTGGGAAGAAAACTACCTGGTCCTTCACCTCAGCTAGTTCGAGAAGCACAGACTTGATAGCTAAGTCACCTGAGGTCTATTACAGATCCAGCTGAAGAAAGAAGGGGAACAAGTTGTTAGCAGCCCCAGAAAAATGAGCCACAAATCACAGGGAGGGTGAATCTGCGTATTTCCTTTATTGCTCTGGGCAGAACTGCAGGCCCCTGCCCTGGCCCTCAGCCCCACAGGCTGGGAGCCCTCTTCCGGGGTTTGGAGCTCAAGGCCTGGCATCCCTGGCCCCCTGGTCCAGTCTTGGCTTCGGGGGCGGCTGCCTGCCGCTTGCCATAGCGCAGGCCGAAAGAATTCCAATTGTACGTGGGCAGGTCCTTCTCCCGCTGCACCAATGCTTTGCTCCGGGGGGCGGGGATCTGCCGGCTGCCTGGGGGGCACACCCCGGGGTGCTGGGGCGAGGCGGGGTGCTCTGGAGGCGGGCACAGTGAAGCTCCTCGGGGGCTCAGGCCAGTACGAGCCACCCTCCCTTCCTCACGGCGAGGGCTCTGCTCCCAAGAGCCCGGGATCGCCCGGCGTTGGGGCAGCAGGCCTAGGACAGAGCCACAGAGAAGCTGCTGAGCCGCCTGGCAGGGCGGTGGCTTTAGAATCCCTCTCACAGCCCCACCCTCGCCTTCCCCTGGGCTCCCGATCCCAGTGGGAGCCCCAAGTGGCTGCCCGGGGCCAGAACACCTGCATCTTGGCTAGGAAGCTTGGTTTGCTCCTCCCTGCTTCCCCATAATTTTGGTTACAAAGTTGTTCCGGAATTTTCTTAAATCTCTCTCATATTAATTCTTCTTTTCAGAAAGAAAATAAGGCGTCACTTGGAAATAAACTGAAGTATTTACTGACCACTGAGCTTGGTGCCTGGCTCTCTGTCCAGCTCTCTCTGGGTGCCGGCACTGGACTGAGATCTCCTGGGGTGACACCCGAGCACCCCTGAATGAGAGTGCTTGAAACAGTGCCTTGTCATAAGAGAGCCTGAATAAATGTGCGCTAAATATATAAAAGCTAATGAGCTTGCAGTTACAGAAATCAAGGAAGTGGAATTAAAACCATTTTGCCCCCTGCCCCCAATAATTGTGACCCCCCTCAAACAAGTCATCTATGTATGACTCAGGGAAGGGTGAGAAATCATCTGGGTCACTTTAACCACCTCCCCTTTTCACACTGAGGCGAAGAGGCTAATTTGAACGCTTTTCACATGTGAGACTCATTCTCTGTTATTTTTGGCAGTAGAGAAGTGTAACTCGAGTAGACACTGCCCACAGCCATTTGTGGCAGGAGATTAGTGGAAATGAAGCCTGATGGGTGAGTGGGTGTGTGTGGGGCGGGGGCTTGAGTGTTGGGGGGCTGGCGGTGGAGACTTGCTCCTCAGTCTCCTGGCACTGGTTGGAGCTAATTAGAGGGCGCGGTTGGGAGTTAGGGTAATCTCCTTGGACCCCACCCCTTGCCTAGGGCCTGGCTGAGATGGGAAGGGGCCCGTAGCTTCCTTCCCAGCTCACCCACAACGCCAGCAGCAGGATCACAGGGGTTTGCATCTCACCTAGAGCCTTTGACCCAAAAGAACCCAGGACTCAATATCTGAGGGAATAGTGATGAAGTTATTCTCAGAGAGGGGGTGCCCACCCCCAGAAAAACACACACACACACACACACCTGATCCCAGGAGAGAAGACTCTGAGCAAAGCATACCTGGGCGGGATGCTCTTGGGACATTTGGGGTATCTCATGCACAATGGTGACACCTGTGTGCAGAACGTGCCCCAAACTCCGTGGATAAGCAGCTGAGGTGCAGGGGCTGGCATTGTTACAGCTCAGGCCACTCAGACGTACTCCAGGGGCCTTTTGCTCCCTGACGTTGGGAAGGCGTCTTTACTGCCCCGTTTCTCTAGTAAATTCCTTCCCGACAGATGGGCACAGAGAGGTGGGTAGGCAGAGAGAGCCATGAAGATCTGGGAGGGGGGTGACGAGCACCCCAATATGGATGAGCCCCCCAGGTTATGATACCAGTATGACATCCTTTACTTGGAAGGTAAGTGGGGTCCCTCAATGAGCTGTATGAACCCTGCTTTAGGTTTTCCACTAAATGCCGTGGGAAACGCATGTCAGTAGGTAACTATGATCTGAAAGATAGAAAAACCTGATTTTGCAACAGCTCACTTGTTCCCCCTGTCCTTCTCCCTGACAATGCATACCTGAGCATCTGGGATTCTCCCCAAGCGCCAGCTTTTCTGAGGTCTCCCCGAAGGAGGTGGCACAGAGGAAAAGTATCAGCTGCCAATACACCCGTGAGTTCATCCTGGTAAGCAGACAGGTCCTGGAGGTGACCAGACAGAGGGAGGACCAGGTCAGGCTCAGTGGCCACAGCTGGGGCACCATTCCCAGGGCGGAGACCCCAGGGCAGGGCGGAGACCCCAAGGCAGACAGTCCCTGGCAGAGGAGGCCCCAGGACTGGGGGTGCCTGAAGAGACATGTGGGGGTGAGACTGAGCCCACAAGCACAGTCTAGCCAAAGTGGGCTCCTTTGGGTGGGGCTGTCAGGCAGGCTTTCTTGGGGGCAGTCAGGTTAAGAGGAAGGATCCAGACTACTGAGGGCCGGGGTGCCCAGGCTGCAGGGCCCAGGACTCAGATCTCAGGTTTGCTGGAGAGGAATGTTGGAGAAATGAGGGGTGAGATGCCGTGTGTGGAAGCTAATAGGGAAGAGTAAAGGGGGACATGGCGAGCCGTGGAGTGGACAATGTTGAGGTCCACGGTTGCATAAATCCAGTACTTCCTATGAGTCCAGCTTCCGGTTCAAATGTGCCTTTTCCGACCTGACCCTTACTCCCTTGTGCGGCAATAAAAGCTTAATTCTTTTCTCTTTTCAAGAAAATAGGAAGAGAGGTAATCACCACAGCCTTGATGGCACCAGGATTTGGCACTATGATTTACCAGGTCAGTTGTGTCCTAGTCTATTCCCTGTGGGCTCGGGTGAGATCAGAATTGCACTGACTTCATGACTTTGGCTGTTGAGAAGGGGCCTATGTACCCTGACCCTCACTTCACCCCCTTTGCCCACTCATTCACCACCCCACACCTCGCCCAGCTCTCAAGTCTAATATCTCTTTGAAAGAGGCTCTTTGAAACTGTCTAACAAATTTGGTTAAAGACAACCGATGGGGAGGCAGAGCTATGTGGGCTTCAGCGCTGCCTGTAAAGCCTCAGGCCCCCCTGGGTGGGCCGGGGCGAGGCGGGGGAGGACTGTCATTAGCAGCTCAGCTCCCAGCGGCTGCTCAACACCCCTTCTCTGTTCATGTCCCCACTCCTGAGCCCCACCCCACCTGCCCTCCACGACTCAGACATGGTAGGGGCTCAGCACCCTAAAACAGGATCGGGAGCACTGAACTCTGGCCCAGCTCTGCCGTCTGTGCTGTGAGATGTGAGTGAGTCGCCTCGTCTCCAGGCTTATTGGTCTGTCTGCAAAATAAGAGCACGGGACAGCGTCTGCCTGTGGGTCATTCACCCTTCAGCTCAGTGACGCCCTGATGCCCAGACCACAGCTTTCTGTAGCTGCTGTGTAGGGACAGGGCCAAACCCGTGGAGCCACCAATGTAAAGCCAGTTCTTTTGTGGCTTCAGACCATGGAGGGCACAGGGCCCGAGGGAGTTCAGAAATCCTTCTTCTTTTTTATCCTTGAAAGCACCAATTTCTTTCAATCTTTTTGGACACATACAGATAAGCACTTTGAAATAGTTTGGGGAGCTCGTGATGCATCAATTCCTTTGCATTTATGCCAGACAATTTAAAAGCTAATTTGAAGTTTTTTTTCTAAGGTCGTTAGACTAAATCTATGATTCAGACGTTTGGTACAATTTAAACGAAGTGCACACGTCTGGCAGGCAGTCACTGAGCTCCAGGACCTGCAGAGAGTGGGTGGGGCAGCCGGACGCCTGTTGACAGTCTAATTCTTACTCAAGTGTGTGTGAACTCATCCTGAAGTCAGGCTGCTCTAGACTACTTAAGAATGTTCCGTTTAACAAAATCCAATTTAAACTGAACATGAACAGCGCTAGAGCAGAGCCACCATGGAGGGGCAGAAGTCACTCCTGGAGCCTAAGTGTGGTACTAGGAGCACAGGGACTGGGACACGGGGCAGCTGACCCCCCCCCCACACACACTCAGATATAGCACACAACACAGAGTCACAGCAGATCATTTCTAAAGCGCTGTAAATGAACCTCCCTGCTGGTGCAAGGGGTTAAGTCTTAGCACCATGAAGCTGTCGGAAGCCTCTGCAGCACGGGCTCCATCCCCGGCCAGGGAGCTGACCCACATGGCGCAGCAGACCGCTCCTGTCTCACCTGCTGCCCCCCTCAGTAGTGTGTTTCAGTCGCTCTGCCTGTTCTGCTCCCTACTCTGTCTCTGGTGAACGTCTCACCCCCACGCCTCTGGCCTGCACCCCAGTTCATGTATGTATGCATACATAAAGAAATCTTAAAAACAAACAAGCAAAAAACTCCAAGGGACAAAATAGCTGTAAATGCCCATCTGGGAGGCGCGTGAGAGCCCCAGGGACTATGGGCTCCCCAGGGCCTCTGATCTGGACCATCAGGCTGGTTTCTGCAGGGAGTGGCCCTTGATTGGAGTCTCTGAGGTTTAAGAAGGCAGTCTCTGCCGCGGGGGAGGAGGCTGCAGGTGGGGGCTGCAGGCCCACCAGACCTCCAGGAGAGGAGACAGGGGAGGGGGCCTTTGGCTTGTGTTGGTGAGCCTGCCGTTCTGGTGGTGCATTCTGGGTGCTCTGCACAAGCAGGACCGTGAGTGGGGGAGGGCAGTGGGCAGCTGCGTCTGAGCAGGTCCGGGTTCTTCTGTGCCCCCCTCGAGGGCACTGCTCCTCCCCACCATGGGGTGCTGAGTCCCTCTCATTGCATCTCCAGCACACTCTCTCTCTCTCTCTCTCTCTCTCTCTCTC